TCTTGCACTGAAATAGATGTTTCACAAAGTTGACATTGGTGTTTTATTTGAAAGAGAGAGGGATTGAGAGAATTTGTTCTAGGTTTGCCAAGGGCCATGACTAATCATCTGCCCACAACCTAGGGCATGTTTCAACAGCCCTTTGCTCAGGAGATAGTAATTAAATTTGCATTAAATTTCAACAAAAAGGAGATGGATTGCCAGTCAATAAGTGTCTGGAAGAACATTCCACAAAGCAAGAGAAATCAGTATGTGATGCTGATCTAAGCAAATTTGTGATCATGAATTAAATTGAAATTCTTTTTTAAAAAAATTACATCTTCCAGACCTGCTTTCACTTTCATTGCTCACACTCTTAAAACCATTTAAATTTTAATGAGTTCAGAAAATTCCTCTAATGTTACAATACCTAACGTTTGCTTGAAGTACTTCCTGGACAATAAACTATCAACTAGCTAAATAAATACTTTTTGTGCTAAATGTGTATGCAGATTTTATATTTAATATGAAATATCCTTGCATTTGATACAGTTTTATCACTTTGTCATGATGTCTCAAAGTGCTTTCTAGGATTTTTACTAGTGATTGTATCTTGTAGGCAATTGATCTGTAGATTTATTCAAAAGTGAACTAAGTATTAATAATAATCCTGGCATTTGATATAATCCCTTATCATGTTACGATATGTTTCAAAGCTTCACAGGATATACTGTAGTGACAGTGCATTCTGTGGGCAAAACGCAGCAGCCAGTTTTGCGCATAGCAATGTCCCACGAACAGCCATGGAGTGAATCACCAATTGTAGCTGGGATTGTCGGCCAGGACACTGGGAGAAACTCCCTTCTCTTTTTGAATAGTATCATGGGATCTTTAACATCCACCTGAACAAGGTAGATGGGTCCATGGTTTAACGTCTCATCCGAAGGATGGCACCTCGAACAATGCAACACCCCCCCCCACCACCCAGCACTGGAATGAGTGTCAGCTTAGATAATGTGATCCCAAGTCCCGACATGGGACCTGAACCCACAACCTTCAGACTCCGGAGTGATAGTGCTACCACTGAGCCAGGCTGGTAAAAAAAAGAGCTGGGACAGGGGTGTGGATGATTTTTTTAAAAAAATAATTAATTTTGGAAACATTAGCAGAGATGATGGGCTGAATGACCCCCCCTCCCCTTCTGTGTTGAACATTTGGCTGTTTCTATTTTTGCCGTGGAATCCCTGTTTATGCTCCAGGGTGGAATCCACAAACCGAGAGCGGGCAGTGGGTGTGCAAACTCGTTCAGGCAAGTAAAGATGGTGAATTGCAAATGTTTCTGACCGCTATGTGAGGTGGGGAGAAGCAGGTGAGGTAAAAACTGTGCCATTGACACCTATGGGATCCCAGTACCATATCACCTCACCTGCAGTCAGACAGCAATGAAAGCCAGAGGCAGCACTGAGCACATTTTGCCCACACAAAATACACAGTCAATTCACTTTACAGTATATTCTGTGAAGGGCTTTGACACGTCTCGAATGCGTAATAAGGCTCTATATCAAATGCAAGGATTATTATTATTTCCAACTGCTTGTGACCAGGTGATCTGAAAGCAGACCACTAGGCGTGGCGTTTGGTGATGTCGCAGACGGAGTCGCAGTGTAAACATGGCAGTAAATTAACTGAAATTGGGAGGGGAAGAAATTACAAAAATGCCATCTGTGCTCATTGTATTCAACCCAGTTTTACTCGAGCGCTTTCAGCTGTGAATTGCTGTGAAGTTGGTACTTGCTGAACATATTTTACCACAATTTAGCAAATCCAGCTGTGGGGAGCATAAAAGCTGTTCCCTGAGCGAAGGACTGAAATTCCACTTGCTCTTAGCCTGCAAGAGCTTGCACTTTCAGCCACTAGGCCCCGAAACTCTGGACACTTCATCTATCCCTCCGCCTTGCCCCTTCCTTCCCCATCTTTTGCCCACGAAATATACAGTCAATTCACTTAACAGGATATCTGTGAAGTGCTTTGAGACATCTCAAAGACGTGATAAGGCACTATATCAAATGCAAGGATTATTATTATTATTACCTTCAGATTGTGCCTGAAGACCTTCCACTTCGACCATAGATTGGGTAGAATTTCAGACCTAGGGCATACACAAATGTGCTTTCATAGGTCACCGAATAGTGATGAGTATACCACGAACTCTGGAAGATTTTCTATCCCTGTCCGGGAGCTTTGAGGTGGAGTTCTGACACACCACAGGCGTAGGTGGCTTTAGCAAATGACTCAGAGAGAAAGAGAAGGCCAAATATGGAGCTAATTAAGCCATACTAAGCTAAATGTGGCATCAAAGTGGACATGGGTGATTTTCACTGGCAAAATACTGCAGAGGCTGGAAATCTATACTAATAAAGATAAAGTGTCTGTCTCCCTGCCTGTGTATCCGACAATCACACAATAACTGAGAAATGATTTATACCTCATCGGAAAGGTCTTGCATCTGGCAGCGTCATGGGCATTTTTTTTTGCAGGCTCTCCTTTCGTTGATGAGTTATATTAAAAAATGCTTTAATTACGCCCCAAAATATGAGGTCTGCAACTACGTAGCGACAGAGGAAAGCACACACCATTCAGAAAGATACATCGATATTCTGCACCTTTTTCTGATTATCATGGGAGCTAGAATCCTCCCATTTGGGACAGACAGAGAGAAAAACTGAGATAGTGAAAGAGGCTGAAAGAGAAACAGAGAGAGAGAGAGAGACAGACAGAGAGAGAGAGACTGAAATAGTAAGAGGGACAGAGAGAGACTGTGAGAGAGAATATATTATAAAGTGTAGTGATGGTGTGTTTTGTGTGAGAGACAGAGAAAGACTGAGAGAAAGTGACATACTGAGAGAGGACAGGGAGTGGGAGATAGAGAGAGAGACTGGGAGAGAGATTGAGAGAAACAGAGAAACTGAGAGTGACTGAAATAGTCAGAGAGAGGGAGACAGGGAGAGAGACTGAGGGACACAGAGAGAGAGACAGACTGAGAGAAAATATATTAAAAGAGTCCTCCCAAAAGGAGTCCTCCCACAAGAGTCCTCCCAACTGAGTATAATGTCTGAATGAAATGTGTGTCTGCTGTGTGTGTGCCAATCTACATTCCATATTGGACCTTTTGGTTGCAAGCCTCGCTAGTCTGAAATAAAAACAAAAGTTGCTGGGAACATGCGGCAGGTCAGGCAGCATCTATGGAGAGAGGAAAATGAGTTAACGTTTCAAGTCTTTTGTCTGACGAAAGGTCATACACCTGAAACGTTAACTTATTTTCCTCTCTCCATAGATGCTGCCTGACCTGCTGCATGTTCCCAGATTTTCTCTGGAATTACGTCCAACTATGGCGGTTTGTGGGCCCTTACCATGTGCAGATTGATTGCCAGGTTCGCTTATCTTAGAGAGTTGCTGCACTTGAGAACAACTCACTGAGCTGTCTGACATTATAAGTAGGATGTGAAATGCAGGGATCAGGTTTATAATCTGGGAGACCTGTGGAGAAAGGGAAGCGAAAGAGATTATGTACTCTCCAAAAACATTAAAGTGTAAATGGCTGGATCTAAATGCTACGGAAACCTTGAGAATTCCTAGGAACTTGTTTATGGTCACAGTTGCTGCTTTATTGATTTTTACCAGCTCTGATATTTATGAGCAAAGTGTGAGGTTGCTGTCAAACCCATTAAAATGCACCTGGAGTTTTCACTCACTGAGGCCAAGATGCATTACAGTACAGTATAGAGCTCACTCGGGTAGTCTCAGGCTTCCGGAAAGGGGCTACGCTCTTCATTTATTATGTTTCAGTACTAAATGGTTGGGGCAGAGGTGACTTAATGCATGACAAGTAAACTAATGGTCATTTTTGTGATTAGCACGCAAGCTATCATGCAGTATTCCCGATATTCATTTCGTTGGGATTGTAACTTGTGCATTGCACAATTTCACATAGGAAGTAAAAAGGTAACAATTTCTTAATATGTTCTTAAATCTATTAGAGAAGGTCATATTTATTCTATCTATAGCTAAAGACTGGCCACGGATGTGGTCACCCCCACCGCACAACTTTAACATAGCACAGGGGCCTATTGGCGCGTGGGTTCACCAGTGTGGACTATACTGGTAGCAGGTACTCCAGATTCTGATGCAGACTTCCTAAACATGTCTCGACTTCCAGGTTGTGAGGTCACTTCTAATGTGCGTTCAGCAGAAAGTGTCACTTCCTGTGCAATGCATATGCCTGCAGACAACAACAACAAATTGCATTTATACGTCCAAGGAAGGACATCCCAAAGGTGCTGGTCAACAACAACAACAACAACTTGGATTTATATAACGCCCTCCATGCTGGACGGCGTCTCATAGCGCTTTACAGTAACGGATCCTGGCGCTGAGCCAGGGGGATGGGGAGAAAGGTGACCAAAGAGAAAGGTCTTCAGCAGAGACCTGAAAATAGAAAGGGAAGGAGCGAGGCAAAGGGAATGAGGAAGGGAATTCCAGAGGACATAGTGGCTGAAGGCACCGCCGCCGAAGGTGGAGTGGAGGACTCGGGGGATGAGGCAGAGGCCAGACCCGGAGGAACGAAGGCAACGGGTACTATTTTGAGGAGACAGAAGGTCAGAGAGGTTGGGGGTGCAGAGGAATGGAGGGATTTGAAGACAAGAGTGAGGATCTTGAAGTTGATCCTCTCTGGGACAGGCAGCCAGTGCGGGGAGCGGAGTTTGGTGCGGGTGAGAATGCGGGCGGCAGAGTTTTGAATGATCTGGTCAGTCAAGGGTTTGCACCCGAGCGTGGGGGTTGTAATCAAAAGGGGTGGAGGGTATTGCTAATGGATGGAAATAAAGATTACAGGTAAAGTTATAGCAAAGGTTTGGGTTGCAATGACTTGTACAATCCAGTTTTTACTGTTTTTCTTTCGTAGCAAAACTGGGTTTCAAACGTTTAACCGGTCCTGTGTTAAATATTTCTTTCTTTCTTTTCAGATGACAGCTCTGTTTGTCAAAGTAATGATGAGACTGACATGGAAGCACTGACGAGACAACCTGATCCCACTCAGCTGAATGGGTGTGCAATGTCAGCCACAGGCTTCTCAAACTGGGTTACGTTTGACGACGATTCAGACTTTGTGACGTCCGTAAAACCCCCTCCGTCAAATTCCCACACAGCTCAGGGGAAGGGCAGCAGTGTCTTTGGGTCCAAAGCAGGATCGAAGAATAACCTGGTGGATTTTGCAACTGAAGACAGGAATGAGGTATTTTCACCAGGTATCCCCGATGTCTTCCTCACATCACCGGCCCGGGCCACCAACCCTTTCCTGGATGAATCCCTCCGTGATATTCAGCCTTCAACCATCAATCCATTTCAAGCGTTCTTTGACCAAAATGAGTCCAACACAAAAAAATTATCAGAGACTGGTTCCACCCTGAGCTTCAGACAGCAGAAGCCGAGTGGCTCTCTGTTTTCTGGAGTTGATGATGTACCTCCATTCAGTCAATCTCCAGACCCAGTTTTCTCATTTCCCAGCCCGCATACCAACGGCCGAAGGGATTGTGATATGTTATTTAGCCATTCCCCAATCTCCCCTTTCTCGGGGGTAAATACCAATGACCCAAGGGACTCTGTCATGTCATTTTCTCCAGAGCCAAGCCCCCAATTGTTTGACGGAAACGCCAGCAATCAAAGCGATTCTGTCACATCCAGAAACTCTCTTGATTTGAACATCCTATTTTCTGCCTCGCACTCCAATGGTCAAACACTTTCTGCTGCATTCAGCCAGTCTGTGAACCCGACATTCACAGATGACTCAGAGGCTCTCGTCTGCCACCAAGACGCAATCACACAGCTTAAACACATTCAGATAGTGGATCCCGATCACTGTGATAGCCCCACACTGCCCGACGACCCTTTGCACTCCCCCGACACGGAAGACTTCACGTTTGATTTTGTCCAACCCCAACCCAAAGACGGCTGGCCGCTTATGTTGAGAATACCCGAGAGGAAAAACATCATGTCGTCGAGACACTGGGGACCCATTTACGTCAAGCTGCTGGACAGTGCTCGGATACAGCTCTTTTATGAAAAGGGTCTAGAAAAGTCTTTCAAGCAACTGCAGCTTCTGCCCTGCCATGAGCTGTCCGAAGTCAAGCTCCAGAACTATGATGAAAATGGGAAGGTTCACACTGTAAGTATTGATCAAGTTTTGTATAAGGAAAAGCGGAAATACCATGCCATGGCAACGGTGCAGGCACCCGTCAGGATTCAGCTCCTGAAGTTCGGCACCACATGTTACCAGGATTGTGTGAGCTTCGTGACAGCCATTCAGGACACGCTGTTCAAGCTGCCGGCCTCCAGGGACATCGGGGCCACTTACTCCGAGGAAGAGGTCACGGTGGTGGTGCAGGATGAGTTCAAAGGGACCGTGGCCAGAGAGGACAACAGCCTATTCCGCCATTCTGTGACCACTCGTATCAGTGTCTTGGCGTTCGTCTCCGGGATGCCAGAGTGCAGGATGGGCCTGAATGATGTTGTGTTGAAAGGGAACGAGGTTGTGGCGCGGCATGATATCATCCCGACCACTACAACCAAATGGATTAAGATGAGCGACTGCCAGTTCCACCAATGTGGGGACGCCAACGCTTTCAAAGCCTCTAGGGTAATTAAGTTTGTTCCCCTGGAGGGACACAAGTTTGAGTTGATGCGCTTCAGAGCTAGATTTGGCGAACGGTCGCTCCCATTCACCCTCAAAACCATAGCCACTGTCCAGGGGGCCGAAATAGAACTCCAGTCGTGGCTGGTCATGTCCTCGGGGTTCGTGTCCAACCAGCAGTCGTTTGCTCCCAACCCGTGCGAAAACGTGATGATTCGCTTCCCGGTGCCACCCGACTGGGTTAAGAACTTTCGCCGGGAGGGTGTCCTCAGGGAGAAGTCACTGAAAGCCAGAGTCAACCGCAGCGCCAGCTTTGGCAGTGCCAGCGTGTCCGGCTCCGAGCCGGTCATGAGAGTGACATTGGGAAGTGCCAAGTACGAGCATGCCTTCAAGGCTATCGTGTGGCGAATCAACAGACTTCCAGACAAGAACTCAGGTGAGCCCTGTCCTGCAGGTGGCATTTCATTTCACTGGAATTCATTGCTTTCTGCTACTCCAGTTACGATGGGGCTGTAACGGTGGCGAGGATGGACTGCAGCACTGCTTATCATGGGGTCCTGTACTGTAGTGGTTAGAGCACTCGCCTCGCGAGCAAGAGGACCTGGGTTCGATTCCCAACAGGGCGAAACGTTGGGCAGGTTCCTACTCCGCACACCTCTGTTTACCTAGCAGTAAGTAGGAACCCGGTTGTTAGTTAGGTGGATTGCTTTCCGGGATTAATAATCTCTTCAAAAAATAATAATAATCCACGACTGTTTGTGGGACGCTGTTGTGTGCAATTGGTTGGTGCTTTTCGGCCACAAAACACACAGTATATTCTGTGCTTTGAGACGTCTCGAAGACGTGATAAGGCGCTATTTCAAATGCAAAGATTATTATTATTATCATCATTTCCTGCGCTAGCATCACTGTGCGCATAGCTTGCATGTGAAGCGCACAGCACCCTCCAAACCGTAGCCGCTGTCCAGTCAACAACAACAACAAAGCGCCCTTCACCCGGGGTAGGGTTCCAGTCAAGGTTGGTCATGTCATTGAGGTTTATGTCCAATCTTACGATCCGAAAGTCGGCCAATTTTATGAAAGCTAAACAAAAAGCAAAAAAACATAAAATAAACATGAAGAGATTTTTTAAAAAATGGAAAACTTGCAACTTTTATCTATTGTTGGATAGGAACAGACTGTCCTCCAGACAGCGGTAATTTGTGCTTCTGCCTTCACTCTCCTCTCCTCATTTTATTTTGGGTTTAGACAAAAATGCAACTTAACGAAAACCAGTGTAATGAGAAAACAATTCTCAGTGTTTACCATAATAATGATAATAGTCCTTGCATTTGATATAGCATCTTATCACGTCTTTCAGACGTCTCAAAGCGATCACAGGATATACTTTAAAGTGAATTGACTGTATTTTGTGAGCGAAACATACAGAGATGCGTTCATACAACAACAACAACAACAAGATTCCATTTATAAAGCGCCTTTCACGTCAGGAGGACGTCCCAAGGCGCTGCACAGTTGGGTCATGACCCGAGCAGGGGGGAAATGGTCAGGGTGAGGGGAGGGAATAATAGTCACAACAGGTTATTAATAACCTCAACACCATTTGGCAAACTCAATTTGTAAAGTTTCCATGAAACAAGCGCTTTGAGACGTCTAGGAGGTGTGAAACGCGCTATATAATAATGCAAGGATTATTATTATTAAACGGTATAAAATTTGTTCCCCTTTGTTTTGCTAATAAAATGTTGTTTCTCCAGCTTCAGGACATCCCCATTCCTTTTACTGCCACCTGGAGCTGGGGTCTGACCGGGAAGTGCCCTCGATCTTTGTCCACTATGTGGATGTGGAATTCGACATGCCCAGCACTTCAGCCTCCAAAACTGCTGTCAGGTCCATCTCAGTGGCCAACAGAACGGACGTGAGGAAGTGGGTTATTTACAAAGCTCACTACAGTTACCAGGTATATTGCTCGGTGATGCCATCACTTTTTTTTTACTTCGAAAGGTTCAACAATCCCCGTTGTTTCCTTAGGCGACTAATGTTAAAATTCTGATGCCATTTTCCTCCAAAGTAGTTGTTGAGGTTCTCGCGTCATCAAAGCATGCTGCCTCTGTTACCGATGCCTTCCAAAGCAGTGCCCAGTATTATCCCTGGAACTATCAGGAGCTTTCCATTCAGTTATTTCTGTACAAACACCAGTGCCACCAAGTCCAAAGCTATCTTGCCCTACCAATACAATCGATACTGTTAACTATTCCTCCATTGACACCTATAACGTCGAAATGTGGCGGTCAATTTGTGCACAGCAAGGTCCGAGCAACAGTTGTTAAGCAAATGACCAATTTAGCATAAATAGGTAAAGCAGCACCCTCCCCCACCCAATTACTGCATTAGAGTTGACATTAAAACTGATGGTTACGGGTGTAGGACAATTTTATTAAGCAAATATCATCTTTTGTTCTCTTGTATGTCCTGTGTGCAGGTGGAAATGGAACAGAAAAGGGCAGAAGTTGAAGCTCTGGATGGAACAGACAAACATTGTCCCACTGAGTGCGTTCAGCAATGAAGCCCTCCCACCACCTATACGAGAAGAAGTGCCATTTGTCACATCTTAGCCTGCCTGTGTCTGGTATATGTTTCTAATACTGCCTAATTATTAGGAAACCTAATGTTCTCATTTCCTTAGTTCGACTTTCCAAAGCTTGGGCAATTGAGAAAGGAACTTGCAATCCAACACTGTGTGAATTTGATGGGCAGAAATCCAATTGTTATACAAAGCCCAAGGACAGAATGTTATCTCAAAGAGGCATTGAATTCAATGAAGCATTGTGTCTAAGTACCCGCGACACACAAAGAATACCACGCAATCCGTCATTTTTATGTCGTTTGTACAGGTGCCCCGGTACGGAGAAAGAGAGGAAGAGGTTAATTCCTGTCATGAAGAGAACTCTCTCCTAACTTTATATTATAATCCAATTTACAGGATAAGTAAAAGGTTTGGCCAATATTGAATTCTGCAGATATTCACATGGGTCTTCCACTGTAACCTCCCACCACACAGCTCAGGAACCCATCCCACTTCCGTGAAGTTACGTTGCAGCCAAATTCGATGAGAGAAAAAATATAAGAAGAATTTGATTGTTTCAATTTACTTTACAGTATATCCTGTGAAGTGCTTTGAGACGTCTGATGTACTATCAAATGCAAGGATTATTATTATTTATTAAATCAATATCTGAGTAGAGTTCAAGCAGATCGGAGTCAGACCTATCCACATATCTGCAGAATTCAATATTTATTGCTGCTTTTTTCCTTCATTTCCTGAACCTGGATTTCCTTAACTCTATGCCCTTCAATAATCTGTATTGTGTCGAGAATTTCTCATTTTGCACACCACTGGTCTGCCTTGGGCCTTTCCGAGCCCGTGTACATTCCTTTGTTCCTATAAACTGCTAGAAAATGGTTTTCATTAAAGAGTTCCTGTTCTTTTTCTCCATCTGCAGTGCCTGTAGTTTTGAGCTTGCTGATAGGGTGGGTGATCAGGAAGGATGAAATTGGATGGGCTGAAGGGCCTTCTTCATACGAAACAATCTTGTAACCTCATGAAGATTGACTCATCTTTTGTGAAACAAGCGCAGTGCCCAGCAGTTAGCAATTGACCGGCATACTAGGACAAACCACACTATCGAGCTAGGACCACCCTACCTATTAAGGTTTGTCTCTTATGGTTGAGGGCAAATGTACAGTTCCAAGTTAATTGATTAATCAAATAGTGGTTTAATCATCGCCAATCAATTTGATTACTGAAAATCTGTTGTAAAACACAGGACAGGAAGTTTTGTTGGAGGGGGAGAAAAACGACCTCTGAATAGTACAGGTTGTATTTTTGAGTTGCTTTATTGCAGAGAAGGCCCATCATGTCTGAGCTGTTCCCCTTTATACCAAATACTTCACTTTGAGAGCATCAGTGTTTTTGTGCTGGAGACTGATCTCATCGCTCTCATAGCTGACCTAGTTCACAAAACAGTCATCAAGGAAATGATGTTTTTTGAATTCCAGTTTTTTGTATTTTGTAGTATTTCCAATTGCCATTTTACAGTTTTTTATTAAAAATTTGGGGGGCTTTTATGACGATATGTATATATTTTGCAGACAGGCAGGATGTTCAGATACCTGAGGGCTAAGAGTCCATTTAAAATAGAAAATAGATGGTTTGGAGGTGAAAAGAAATGGGATGCTTGACAGAAGGACTTTTGCAATTACTTTTTCTTGGAATCAGTATTTTTTTAAAAACAAAATCCATCTTTTTCTAGACTGTGGAGCCCACTGATCTGAATACCATGGACAGCTGTACTATTTAAGGGGAACTATCTGCCAGTGCTCATTAATCCAGGAAGGATGCAGGTTGCCCTGTTGCTGTATTACACAGTGCAGCATCTAAATTGACCGAAGGGTTTATGCTTGGTGGGGGAAGACAAGGGATGGCGGTGGGAGAGTATCTATTACTACCTTAAGTGATTGAGTAAAGAGAAAATGGTGGTGGAGTTTGACAGCCACCTGGCTAAGACTGGAGCCAAATCCATTCCACAACACAACCTTACTAAGTTTTAATCCCCCTCCCTTGCGTCCTTCAAGGCCCGTCTCAAGACCCGCCTCTTCAACCGTGCCATCAGTCACCCTCCTACCTCCACCTTCCCTGCTCTTCCCCCTCCGGTCCAGAGTCTTGGGACATCCTCCCGACCTGAAAGGCGCTATGTAAGTGTAATTTATTGTCATTTCAAGGTATAACTTACACTGGAATCATCGAGTAACATCTCTTTTTGATGTGATTCTGTGAGAAATGTGCATGTTTACCAGAGTTTTACCAGAGTTGTGAAGGATTTCATTTGACCAGGATGCCCCAGGTTTGATCGCTGGTCTCAGATGGAAAGGCAGCAGTGATTGGCCTCGGTGATCTTGGGATGGGGAGTTGACAAAATCCACCAAGGATCCTGCCACTGAGTTCTTAGCTTATAAGACTTTCACACACTCACATGCACTCACAATTTTTGGGGGAAAAAGATTTTTTTTTAAAAATTGAGCTTCGGCAATAAGATAATTTAAGGTTTTTTTATGTAAATCAAAGCAGACTTGTCAAATTCTACTAAGGTATCAAACCAGGGATATTCTTGCACTTTCGTGTTTAAAATGTTATGTAATGTATATACATGAAATGGTGGGTGAATTTTAAATAAATGTTTAAGGCTTCTGTCATTTCTTGTTGGATTTCACTTCCTTTCATCAGAAAGAGGCAATGATTCGGGAAGAGTAATTGCTGGAAATGCACAGAAAGGTGATCAGCATTTGAAGATAGATCACAGTTTGATATTTGATCTCATCCCTCCAGAATTCCCATCCAACCATATCCCATTCCAGCCACAAGCTGTTATTGTGCTGAAATTGCCCTCGACACCGCTGACCTTGTCTGTTTTGGTCTATCTAAACGTTTTTTTCCGCGTTTACTTTCTCAAACCAATTAAGAATTTTCTACATTGCAATAAACTCCCCTGCAAGACAAAACTCTTCAAGGTTGAAAAGCCCGAGCTTATCTTTCACCTTGAAGTCGAGAGCTTGTTTTGTTCTCAGTGGGAGAACTGGAGAAAAGGGTGCAGCTTTAGTGGGAAGCCAAATCTCCATTTGCAATGTATTGAGCTTTGTGGAAAAAAAAGTACCATTCATACAGCGGGGATAAGAGCATTTGTTTAAATATGAGCTGTTAAGAATAAACTTGAAGTCAATGTTATCTCTTATGAATCTTGCTGGCCTGGTGTTTGCTTCGGGCATTCTGAAGCTGTGTGGTGCTTGACAGGAGCTGGCTTGTTTTCAGGTCTCCAAGCTGAATCAATAACAGAAAGGAGGAGACAACTTGCTAGTTTGGTAAGTCCACAGCTGAGTGATTCCAACACCTATTGTTTTCGTGGTGGAGTCCCAAGGCTTTCCCATCTCCTCAATCTGTCAAATCAAATTACAGATTTTAAGATGCTCACAGAAAGCGATTAAAGGTAAGGTTACCAAAATAATTCTTTAATAATAATTCTGCATTTGATATAGCGCCTTGACACGTCATTGAGACATCTCAAAGCACCACACAGATATACTGTAAAGTGGATTGACTGTATATTTTGTGGGCCAAACGCGGCAGACAATTGCACGCAGCAGCTTCCCACGAACAGTCGTGGATTGAGTGACCAAATTATTGTTATATTATTATTGTTATTTGTACCCACGGAAAAGCGATGTGAAATTCTCTGCCACAAATGGTTCTTGAGGCAGAATTAGTGAATTAATTTAGGAGTTTTTTTGTTTTGATCAGCCCATCACCACACCAAAGTGTCTCAAACACTGTAAACACTGTAAAACGTCACGACTGTATTTCTAGGTGAATGCGGCAGCCAATTTACGTCCAGCAACATCACGCAATCCACCAAGCTGTGGAGTGACACAGCTGTTGTTGAGAGTTCTTGAGCTATCAGTCTGACTGGAAGGAATTTACCACATTTAAAAAACAGAGGGATTAGGGGATATGGGGATAGGGCAGGTAATTAGAGTTAGATCTGAAGATCAGCCATGATGTTATCGAATGGCGGGGCACAGGCTCGAGGGGCCGAATGGCCTACTCCTGCTCCTAATTCTTATGTTCTTATGTTCTAAGCCTTTATCAATGATACACGTCGTTCCAAACTGTAACTTCACAACAGAGGGGCTTCTAAGAACAGAAATAAAGATGCTGCCTGTGTATGAGGGACTGACTGCAATCGGAAATCTATTGTTGAATGTAGTACAGTAAATTTCTGGCAATATAGCATGGTCCTTGCAATCCATACGTAATTGTATATGTGTACACAGACACAGCAGCCAATTTGGTCATGGGAAGGCCCTACAAACGGCTATGAAGTGAATGATTGTCTGCAGAAACTTCCTTCTCAAGACTGAGAAAAAAAAGTATCATGTGATCTTTAATGTCCCCTGAACATCAGTTTAACATCTTACCTCCAAAGGACAACACGTAGGACAATGCAACACTTGCCAGAGTAGTGACTGCATTTTGTACTTGAACGTGGCAGCCAATTTGCTCACATCAATGTCCAACAAACTGGCATGAAGTGAGTGACCAATTTTATCTGGGGGATTGCCAGCCAGGATCCAGGGAGAAACTCCCTTCTCTTTTCCAATAATACTACTACTGCTACTTCCCTTCTCTTTTCCAATACTACTACTACTAATAATAATTTTCCAATAATAATAATAATAAAGTATCTTTAAAACATTCACTTGAACAGGCATAGACAGGAGCTTGATGTGGTATCTCATCCAAAGGATGGCTCCATCTGAGTTTTTTTATTGCATGGAGGTCCGTCAGCGTCAGAAATTGGGGTCAAAAGGGCTGGCGAGCAAAACAGACTGATAGTATTTTCTTCCTCAGCCACACCTGCTTGTGCTTTTTACCATGCCCCTCTTCCCCGCCCCACCACCCCTTCCCCAACCCTGAGGAACTCCATTAAACCAGCATCATTTGATATCTCTCTGCTGAGAGACGCTCAAGTTGTTCAACAGAAACCTCTGTGATGTAGAATGATTGTACCTCCCTCCTCTGGTCACACATCGGCATTACAGACCATCTCTATCTGTAATGAAAGCAAATAAACCGTCAGCAAATAATAATCCTCGCATTTGATACAGTGTCTTTCACCTCAGGAGACCATCTTGGATTATTTCACAGGATTTACTGTAAAGTAGTTTCTACATAAACGCCAAAGATTTGGTAACAAAACGTTTTATTTTCTAAACCTACCCCAAAAAACAAAAATAACTAGATTTTTCAGAACTCTGAGGATCTTTTTAATCATAGAATCATAGAATTGCACAGCACAAAAAGAGGCCATTCGGCCCATCAAGTTTGTGCCAGCTCTTTGAATAGAGCAATTAATGTCAGTCCCACTCCCCAGCCCTTTCCCCATAACCCTGCAAACCCGTCCTCCTCAAATACCCGTCCACCGCGTTTTTAAAAGTAGTTATCGAATCGGCCTCCACCACCCTTTCAGGCAATGCATTCCAGATTCGAACAACTCGCTGCGCGAAAAAATTTCTTCTCACCTCCCCTCGGCTTCTTTTAGATACTCTTTTGAATCTGTGACCTCGAGTCACCGACAACCCACCAGTGGGAACAGTTTTTCCCTTTCTAACCTAACAAATCCCCTCATGATTTTGAAGACCTCTATTAGGCCTCCTCGTAACCTTCTCTGTTCCAATGAGAATAATCCCAGCTTCTCTAGCCTTTCCTCATCATCAAGGTCCCTCATTCCTGGTACCATCCTCGTAAATCTTTCCAATGCCTTAACATCCTTCCTATAGTGTGTTGCCCAGAACTGGGCGCAGTACTTTAACTGAGGCATAACCAGTGTTTTATATAGGTTAATCATAACCTCCTGACTCTTGTACTCTCTGCCCCTATTTATGAAGCCTAGAATCCCATTTACCCTTTTTACAGCCTTATCTACCTCTCATGCCACCTTCAAGGATTCATTTACCTGCACCCCTAGGTCTCTCTGTTATTTTACCCCCCTTAAGATTGTATTATTAATATTATTATTATTATTACCAGCCTGTATTGCCTCCCTTCATTCTTTCTACCAAAATGCATTACTTCGCATTTCTCTACATTGAAACTCCTCTGCCATGTGTCGCTCATTTTACCATTCTGTCTATGTCTTCCTGCAGTTGGCTCCTATCCTTCTCACTGTTTACCCCCTCCCTAACTTTGTGTCGTCCGCAAACTTGGAAATGGTGCTTTCTATACTCAAGTCCAGATCATTTATGTATATTAAGAAGAGCAGTGGTCCTAATACCGATCCCTGAGGGAACACCACTGTACACTTCCCTACAGTCAGAAAAGCAGCCATTCACCACAACTCTCTGCTTTCTGTCTCCCAGCCAGTTCTGGATCCATGCTGCCACCCTCCCACGGGCTTCTATCTTTCTTACAAGTCTTTCATGTAGCACTTTGTCAAATGCCTTTTGGAAGTCCATATAAACTACATTAACTGCACTACCTTTATCCACCCTCATGTTACCTCATCGAAAAATTCTATTAGATTTGTTAGACAAGATTTGCCTTTAACAAATCGGTGCGGCTGTCCCTAATTAACCAATATTCTTCTAAGTGAAGATTTATTCTGTCCCGGATTATAGTCTCCAGGAGTTTCCCCACTACTGATGTTAGGCTGACTGGCCTGTAGTTCCCAGGTTTGTCCTTCTGTCCCTTTTTGTGCAGGGGAGTAACATTGGCCACTCTCCAGGCCTCTGGCACCACTCCTGTGTCCAACAAAGATTGAAAAATTGTGGCCAAAGCGTCCGCTATTTGTATCCGTGCCTCCCATAGTATCCTTGGCTGCATCCCGTCCAGACCGGGCGACTTATCTACCTTCAGATGCAAAGTACTCATTCAGCACATCAGCCATGCCCTCTGCCTCCACAATAAGATTTCCGCCTTGGTCCTTAATTGGCCCCACCCTACCTTTGACTAGCCTTTTCTCCTTGATATGTTTGTAAAATATTTTAGAATTCCCTTTAATGTTACCGACTAACCTTTTTTTGTATAATCTTTTTGCCCCTCTGATCTGATTGCTCTCCCTAAGCGATTGTTAGTGATTAAGATTGTTAATATGGCTGATATTGACTATTTACATTGATGACTTGAGGAAACCTCTATTAATGGCTCCGGGATGCTACCTCACGTGAAGGGCGCTATATATATGCAAGTTGTTGTATACAATGCAGCTGAAACCCTCATCCACGTTTTCATCACCTCCTGCTTCGATTATACCAATCCTCCATCTCCCCAGCTTCACTGATCACAAAATTCAATCCATTAAAAATTCCGACGCCCACATACTCACCTGCACTAAATCTGTGGCCCCATCACGCCAGTCCTTGGCAGGCTCCACTGTCTCCCTATCACAGAATGGATCAACTCATTCTCGTCTACAAAACCCTTCGAACCCTGGCTCCTCCCTATCTGAAGGAGAACAGGAGTTCTGGCCTGAATGCCCGGTAGTGACCCTGTACAAAAACTGCTCAGGCTATTGGTTTTATAATCAGCATAGAGTAGGTTAAACTGAAATGGACCAGATAGATACCGAAGGATGGGGAACAAAGACAGGAAAGAGTAACTGAATAACAAGTTCGTATTAGGACAGTTAAAGAGGCCGAGTTAGTGATATGAGAGAGAGCTAGAAGGGGGTGGTATTAGAGTGGTAGGCACAAAACTTAATTACAGCATTGTGATTGGAGTATTATACCTATATATGGAATGTGTGCCAAGTTTTTCTTTGTTCGAACCACAAGAGTGTGCCTGGACTATAACCAGTTTGCAGTGCGGTAATAAAGACAAACTTTTGAAATCTACCTGAAGTCTGAAGATTATTTTACGCACACAAAGACGGTTTGAGAAGTAATAACCCAACACTACCTCTCCGACTTGCTTACTCCTCACTCCTCAAACTGCTACCTCCACTCGGTTGGCTCCGGCCTCCTGCTTGTCCCTTGTCTCTGCTTCTCTATCGGCGGTCATGCTTTCAGCAACTTTGGAACTCCCTCAATCAATCCCTCCGCCTTTCTCCCTCCTTCCCTATTTTCGGATCATGCCTGAAGACCTTCCTCTTCGACCGTGCTTACGATCACCTATCAAGCTCTGCCATTGTTAAGCTTCCGAGACACTGTGTAAATACAAGTTGTCGAATGGGACCATTGTCTTAACATTTAAAATCATTGAGAAAAATCTTAAATTCGGTCATAATTCAGAAGCGGTTTTACCATCATTCTTTAAAGACCAGGTTTCCAAATGAAGGCCGATTTTAAGAATTTTCTGAAAGTCAGCA